CAGAATACTGCCCTTGTCACAGATGACACGACTTCAAGCTCCGACGCCAACGACTCGGGTCGGAATTCCAAGAAGAGCACGAGCAGTACAGGTCTCATCGCCGGGTGCGCAGTTGCTGGAAGTGTCGTTTTTCTGGCCATTTGCGGCGGCCGGTTTGCTTATCACAGGTGGAGGTCGAAGAAAAGACAACCTCTTACAAGCCCAAGCAACATAGAGGATTCCGAGGGGTTTGTGAAAGCAGGAAAACCACAGGAGCTGCCCTTTCAAAGGGCTGCTGTTGAAGTCCATGTTCCGCCCGCTGAGATGGCAAATGGAAGCCACTACTGTGAACTTGGTGTTCCTACAGGCGATGTTGGCGAACACGGTATTGCTGCGGGAGCAAGAACACCTAACAACAGAGCGGAATTGAGTGCCTAGGGTGAGGAGGTGCTTGGTTAGCAAGACTTCCGAGTTTGGTGTCATATTCTTGGAAAGTAAGCGAAGAAGAACCAAGCAGGAGCGTACAGAATGAGTGGCGGCATTGAGTGGAAGAAGGGTTATGAAAACTGATGATGGCCAGTGCCTAACAGTGGCTAAAAAGAACTTACACCATGTAATCGGCAAGGGGGTCGATAAGGACGTCAAACAGGTTGTCGTGAAAAAGGCTCGCTCGATGTACTTAGGTACCATGTGCCGTCCTTTTAGCGTGCGGCGGCCGCGGTACCTTATGACAAACTTTCCATGGAAAGGATGTTGTCAAGTCCTCCCTTGAGTCCCTTCCGCTTCTTCTGATCTTCAATCATTCCATTTTTCAACTTCCCTCTGAACTTTCTCTTGCGTTCATCCTTGGTGCCTCCTGCCTTTGTCGTTGTCGTGAAACCGTTACACGTTCGTGCTTGCTAGAGGTATGTTCTAAGCCAGGTGCGCCCGACGCTTGCTGCTTGTATCACCAACGATGTTTCTGTCAACGCTCTTGCCACCGCCGCAGACACTGACACTTTTGTTTCTTGCATCACTGCAATGTCTTCCCATCGGCGTCAATGCCCAAAGTGTCGATACACCTTCCGATTCGAACTTTATTCGACGCGGTTATGAGCGTGGAGAGTCCAGTCCAGTCCAATCCTTCCTCTCCAACCATGTGCACCCTTCCCGCCATCCATCCATTCTTTCCATCCAGTCATCAGACCTAACATACCCCTTTGGTTCCACGGCACAGCAACAGTAATCGGCACCAACCTCTACCTCTCCGGCGGTGAACTCTCGCAATACTCCTCCTCCGCCGCCGGTTCCCAACGACCGCCCCTCAACCGGCGTCTTCTCCACTTTATCCCTCGATCTTTCCGTCTCCTGGAATACCCGCACCGCTCCCTTCCAAGCTCATACTTTCAAAAACGGTAGCCGACCTCCCGTTGTAAACCTCCACGCTCTTTGGCCCTGGCGAAAATTGTGGTCTTCGTCGTCGTCGTCGGTACCCCCCAAAAAATGAAGAAGAAGAAGAAGAAGGAGAAGAAGAAGGCTTCTACATCTACGGCAGACAAGTCTCCTGGTCCGGAACAGTAAAAGGTATTCGCAAAGATCACGAGATTTGGAAGTTTATTGCTTCTTCCAACCCGAATGGACAGGGCGGAGCAGGGGGAACATGGGCCGTTGAAGCAGCTAGTAACCTCGATGTGTTGAAAGGGTTGAACATAGTGACGAGTATGGCGTATGCAGCTGGACATGGAAGGGGGTGGTCGATAAGGGGACTGATGACGGGCGGCAGTGATCCGGATGCGAATAGCACGGCGAGAGTGAGGATATCGGGAATGGTGGAGTATGAGTTTTCTACGCAAAAATGGGCGAATTATGCCGAGGTTGGGTTCTTGAGGAAGGATGAGGCTTTGGAGGGGGGAAGGGTGCATTTCGTTGACCTCGAACTTGGGAAGGATGGGAACGAGGGAGGAAAAGGAGTGGTGATGGTCTTGGGAGGAGAAGTCTTCACCGTGCCGGTGACAAGGAGGGGCGATTCGCGAGGGATTATTCGCCCGGATTTTTTACTGGACTTCATGAACGTGACGTTTTTTGATGAAGAGACGAAGAAGTGGTACTCGCAGACCACGACGGGGAGCCCGCCAAATGGAAGAATGGGGCATTGTGTTGCTGGTGTGAGAAGCCAGGCCGGTACCCATGAGATGTGTGTTTCCTTTTTGCAATATTTTCCTGGATCAAGTACTGATATTTGGCAGCTTCGTCTAAGGCGGCGCAGACACCGGATTCACCGAATCCTACGATACCTAACCTGTACGTCCTTTCGCGTCCGGGATTCATCTGGTTTCGCGTCAACGACCGTTCAGACGGGGGCCATTCCCACGGGACTTGCGCGGTGGTGGGCAACGGCCAACTGTTGGTGATTGGCGGGCAAAACGAGAAAGACGGGTGAGTGACCTTTCATCTGGAATGTGAATGACATGCTGACCTAATTAGGGGACTGGACAAGGTCGAATGGGACTCGGACGACGTGAAGAGGATATTCCTGGCCAGGCCTGTGAGCTTTGAGAAAGAGACCAGTTCATCAAACGAACCATCATCTGACGGCAGTGGTTCCTCCGGCGGCAGTGGTTCTTCGGACAGCAAAACGGGTGAAAGCAACGACTCCTCCAAAAAGTCCAACATCGGACCTGTTGCAGGGGGCATCGTAGGTGGTTGCGTCGTCGTTTTAGGAGTCATGGACGGCTGGCTCTTTTTGGAGAAAGAAGAACAAAAACAAGAACCCACAAGCGGCGGTCGAACTCCCCGCCCAAGAGCCACAACAACCAGCAGCATCAGGTTCATATGACCTCTACGGGCAGCAGAAGAAGGAGCTTCCTATCGATTCTCCAGCCGTAGAGGCGTACGTCCCGCCAGCCGAGCTCCCAAGTAATGCGTACAACCGGTGGGAGCTCCATTCGGACGAACGACCAAATGAGTTGCATGGGAGTGCAGCACCGCAAGCACAAGAACTTCCAGGGTCGGGTATTGAAGGCCATGGGATGAGGCCGTGAGGTTTGGGCCGATACAAATGATAGAAGTTCACGTCGAATTCGGGGTGTACATAGACCGAATGAGGATCGAAGAATGATACCCGTGCGCTTTCGGAATTCCGAACCTGGGGTTGTTTCTGGGGAATCCCCGCATTGTTCCCGCACTGCCGCATCTTGGTAGCGTCGTCGATCGTGCGTATGACAGCCTCCGGCTAAATTGCATCCCCGCGGGGCCACGTTTTACCCGGACATCTTCCATCCTTCCACCCCACTTGAGGTCTTGGTCTTGGAGAGATGATAACAACCGATGGGTGACCATGACAAACGTGACTGTATAAGAAAACACTCGTCGCCTTCTTCACCGTTTTGAGAATCCCTCGTGAAGTTACCGCCTCTTGACCATTTCAACCATCACCGGTCAACACAGCATCATCGCCCACCATGCCTCTCGTCAAAAACCCTATTCTCCCGGGTTTCAACCCTGACCCTTCCATCTTGCGAGTAGGCAAAGATTACTACATCGCCACCTCAACCTTCGAATGGTACCCCGGCGTCCAAATCCATCACTCGACAGATCTCGCCAACTGGACTTTGTTGACCCGTCCTCTCACGCGCAAATCCCAACTCGACATGCGCGGCGACCCAGACTCATGCGGCATCTGGGCGCCCTGCCTCACGCACGACGGCGACAAGTTCTGGCTTGTGTACACGGACGTCAAGCGCAAAGACGGCAGTTTCAAGGACGCGCACAACTACATTGTTTGGGCGGATAAGATCGATGGCGAGTGGTCTGATCCCGTATACGTCAACAGCTCTGGTTTCGACCCGTCTCTGTTCCATGATCCGGATAGCGGGAAGAAGTACTTTGTCAACATGCTGTGGGATCACAGACGTCGACCGCTGCTGTTTGCGGGCATTGCGGTGCAGGAGTGGGATGCTAAGACGAAGAAGTTGGTGGGCGAGAGGAAGAATGTCTACCAGGGCACGGAATTGCAGCTCGCCGAGGCGCCGCATGTGTATAAGCGGAATGGACGGTACTATATGCTGATTGCGGAGGGTGGAACGGGGTATGAGCACGCTTGTACGTTCGCGAGAGCTAAGGATATTTGGGGACCGTACGAGACGCATCCGGAGAAGTACATGGTGACGAGCAAGGACCATCCGAGGGCGGCGCTGCAGAGGGCGGGACATGGCGATATTGTGGAGACGGAGGATGGGAGGACGTACTTGGTGCATTTGACGGGACGGCCGACGACCCAACTGAGGAGGTGTGTGTTGGGACGCGAGACGGCGATTCAGGAATGTTACTGGAAGGATGATTGGTTGTACGTCAAGAATGGACCGGTGCCGAGTCTTTGGGTGGACGTGCTAGGAGAGAGGGATGAGAAGAAATACTGGGAGGAGAAGAGGTATACCTTTGAGGATGGGCTGCATAAGGACTTCCAGTGGTTGAGGACGCCAGAGACGGAGCGCATCTTCAACACCAAGGATGGCAAGTTGACGTTGATCGGTCGGGAAGCCATTGGCAGTTGGTTCGAGCAGGCGTTGGTGGCCAGGCGACAGGAGCACTTCAGCTACGACGCCGAGACCGTCGTCGACTTTTCGCCCACTGACGAGCGCCAGTTTGCTGGTTTGACTGCGTATTACTGCCGGTACAACTTCTTCTACTTGACGGTCACCGCTCACTCGGATGGCCAGCGAGAGTTGCTCATCATGTCGTCTGAAGCGTCATGGCCGATTGGAAACCTCAACACCCCGTACGTCCCGTACGTCCAGATCCCGAACGAGGGCAAGGTGAAGCTGGCTTTGACGATCAGGGGTAACCAGCTGCAGTTCTACTATGCGGTGTTGGGCAGTGGTGATGAAGAGCTGAAGAAGATTGGACCGGTTTTTGATGCCAGCATTGTGTCAGATGAGTGCGGCGGACATCAGCAGCATGGCAGCTTTACGGGTGCCTTTGTTGGTGTGGCTGCTTCGGACCTGAATGGGTTGGCGGCGGAAGCCAAGTTTGACTACTTTGTGTACAAGCCGGTGAAGAATGAGCAGGATGCCTATGTTAGGGACAACGAATAGGTCAAAGGATGAAGGAGGACAATGGAGATGCGAAAAGTTAGCCTTGAATGATACCACACCGGCTGTCCATGTGAAAACTGTGTCCTGTTGAGCTTGATGTTTTGAATTTGCTGTTCATGTTTCGTTTTGTTGTACCGAAACCGAGGTTCCGGCATCCTAATGGGATCCACGAACCATTTCTACTGACTGTTGATAGTCATCCGCTCCCCCTCTGGTGGCCAAGTGTCAGAAACCAACCCAAAACCTTGATGTGGCAGACCAAAAGCCGAGTTGGTACACGTTGCCGACCAGAACCTTGACCGCCCCGTCCTCCATGCCTCTGGCTGCTGGCCACTGGACGCACCCTACAACGCCGGCTCAACAAATCCCAGGGCAATCAAGGCCTGGCCCCCATAGTACAACACCCAAACAGCCCTCTGCATCAACCCCCTATAGCTCTCCGCCGCCGTCCCAGGCACCAAGAACTTGTCAGCCGCCAGGATCGAATCGGACGCCGTGAACATGGTAGCCCCCACAATCACCCTCTTGTTCTCCAGCGTCAACGCCGTCAAGGCCATGACGCAAATGGTAAGCGAGTAGACCATCACCGGCAGTCTCAACGCCTTACCGACCTTGGGCATCAACATGGCGATCATGAAGGGTACCAGTACCACTAATCCACCGGCCGTCGCGGTGCGCCATCCTTCTTCTAGCAGAGTCTGAAACCCAGCAGCTGGTTGCTCCTGCAGGAACAACAAGATGTAACCGATGTGAGCAACCAAGAAACTCGACAGGCCACAGAGAAAGGCTAGGTCACCGTCCCAAGCGAGGAAGGCATCGCCAAGGGAGCCGAGGGCTAGAGCGCCGGTGAGGAATTGGGGGCCGTCGAGAAGGTGGGAGAGATAGGACAGCAAGGCGGTGGAAGCGGTCTTGACGAGCATGCGTGAGTAGGAGGGGCTGGAGCGGATTTGGAAGAGGTAGAGGACGGCGGAGGCGAAGGAGACGGCTAGGACTGTTTTGTCTAGAGATGCGTCTGTAGGGGAAGACATGGCGGCGACGGTGCTGTCTGGGACTGTAGCCGAGTTGTTGACAGGCAGGAATTGGATCTGGGACCTTGACTGATCGTGTGTAAAGTTGATGTGTTCGATCTGATAACAACGCGATGTTGGTGATTGTTTACTTTGGACAGGGACTCAGGGGTTGCCAGTTGTTGGTGTTGAGGAGTTGTCGTCGTCGTCGTCGTCGTCGACTGGTTCGAGACAGACAGTGCGGGGTATGGTTTGTTTCTCTTTTCTCGTCCGAGGTTTGACGATTCGTCCCACGTGAGATTCAGTCCAAGACCTGCGCCGGCCCATCGTCTTCGGCATGGAGTCCCTGGTCTCGGCTATAAAAGTCAGCAGGAGTGGACTGAACTTGGCGCGTGGGGAGGCTGGGGAAATGTGGGATACGTGGGGGAACGATGGGTCAGTGGGGAGGATGACCCCAGACCACAGCAACAAACGACCTGCTCCCCCACGGAGCGACCACACGCTGTCTTGTCTTCTCTCGCCATGATGGCCATGGTGTTGTGATTTTCCACTCCTCCAATCCCTTCCTTGTCGACCACCACCGTCTCCTGCTTTCCCCGCGAACCGGTTACCCGGCTTCCCCGCAATTCTCCTCATTTTCTATCGGGCCTTTGTCTCGCGTCGATTTCGAGTCCGCAATGAGCTGGGACTGGAACTTGTTGATAGTGTGGGGTACCCCATTATCCCCAGACTCGTCGTCCACGTTGGGCTGGAGTCACCATCAGCAAGGGAGTCGGTCCAGGGGAGTCCCGGATGGTGTCTCTGTGGAGAATAGGAAATAACGGGAATGTCGTGATGGAAATAGGGTCGGTGGTGGTGACTTGCTGATTTGTTGTTGCAGGAAGGAAATAATTTGCCTTGAGCAGGACGGAGACGCCGCTTTTTTGCCTGCCACACTCGATCGCTGCTGTGTGCCGTGCTGACAGCGGCAATTGCCGGCAGTGCCGTACAGGTATTGACAGTGCTGTAAATGCACGACGCGGCAGTGACTTCCCGCAATTCGTGCTGTACCGGACGGCAAGGGGGAGGAGGACATCTCCGAAACCAACGATTGGAGGTTGGAGAACTTGGAGACACCAGACATGGAAAGCTGGAGTGTGCCCCCATCTTGTTTTTTCCCAAGTCCAGCTTCTTCAACATCACTCGTCCGACATGATGGTTGTTCCCCTTGTGACGTCTGTGGTGGCACAACCAAGTATCGACTACAACACTTCGGTAAGGTATGTTCGCCCGACGATACCATCCTGTCTAGAACCAGAGCTAACTACAGTTAAACCCAGGCCAAGAGAGACCGCCATATCCAGCTTCGCTTGCTATCCGCCTTGATTGGATCTTCAACTCCCCCGTGGAGAATCCCCACGATCTTTCCCCATCTTCAAAGACCCATGTCGACGGTACACAACAAAAACCAGCCTGTTGGAGTGACCGACGGTTGCTGATCTCCAGTCTCTCCCCATACTGATCAATTCCTCTGCCGGTTGGCTTAACCTACCCAAGGACCAGAACGGGAATAAGGCAAAAGATTGGCGTACAGGGTGTGTGTCTCGATGGAAACATAAAGAGGAGCCGGTCCAACCCTTCTTTGACCCAAAATATCACTCCTCATCCCCAGACAGGAAGGTAGCCGGCCTTCTACCTCCAGTTGATCACCATACTACCGCTGGTGTCCACCTTCTATCCCATCACCTTACCCATTTCGATTCAACTTTGCCAGTCCAGTCAGTAAGTCAAATCGCCAACATGGCTGCCGACGAAGGAGTCCTCGCCCACAAGGTCTCGGCCGACCTCAAAGACATGGAATATGGTCCCCAGGTGACTGAGACCGAGAACCAGCGAGTCACCTTGACGGAAGAAGATGTAAGCCCATACCAACCTCCACCCCCTTACCTCCAGAATACTAACACTTCTCGTAAAAGAACCGCCGCATCCTCCGCAAAACCGACCTCACAATCCTGCCCATTCTCGCCTGGGTCTACTTCCTCCAAATCCTCGACAAGACTGTGCTCGGCTACAGCGCCATCTTCGGTCTCCGCGAAGACGTCCATCTCAAAGGCAACCAATACTCCCTCATCGGCTCCATCGCGCCCATCGCCCAGCTAGCATGGCAACCCTTTTCTTCCATCTTGATCATCAAAGTTCCTCACAGGATCTTGATGCCTACTTTGGTACTAGGCTGGGGAATTGCTCAGAGTCTGACGCCCCTCTGCAAGACCTTCCCCGCTTTACTCGCCAACCGCTTCTTCCTCGGCCTTTTCGAAGCCGGTTGTCTTCCCCTATTCTCAGTGATAACAGCCCACTGGTACCGCCGCAGCGAGCAACCCGTCCGCGTAGCAGGCTGGTACGGCACCAACGGCCTCGCGACAATTTTCGCCGCCGCGTTGTCATTTGGTCTAGCGAAGATTACCAGCCCCGTTCTCGCCTCATGGCAAATCATCTTCCTCTTCACGGGTCTCATGACCATCGTCACCGTGCCCTTCATCTACTGGAAGCTAGACAATAACGTGCACTCAGCCCGCTTTTTGTCGGCAGAAGAAAAGACCATGGCTATCGAACGCCTGAGAGCAAACAATAACGGCACCAGCGACGGCGAGGCGCACAAGTTCAAGTGGGCGCAGGTCGGCGAGGTGTTTATGGATGTCAAGACTTATTTGTTTATCGCCATGTCTTTGGCCAACAACTTGGGTGCGCAGGTGGTTAATACCTTTGGACCGCTGATTTTGAGCGGGTTGGGGTTTGATAACCATAAGACCACGCTGCTTAATATCCCTTTTGGGGCGGTGCAGTATGTGGTTATCCTTGGTGTGGCGTGGACTAGTGTTAAAGTCAGGTCGGGCAAGGGCGTTGCGCTTTTGGTGGTTTTGATTCCCATCTTGGCTGGTATCAGCGTTCTATATGTCCTGCCAAGGGATAAATCGCATACCGCGCCGCTGCTGGTTGGGTATTACTTCCTGGCGTTCATCTTCGGATGCAACACCTTGATCGTCTCGTGGATTCTGGCCAACACCGCGGGCTCGACAAAGAGTAGTATCATGATGTCGCTGTTCAACGCCGCTTCGTCGGCAGGTAACATCATTGGTCCCTTGCTATTCGACACGGCTGATGCGCCGGCTTATACACCTGGCTTGAAGGCGACGTTGGGCGTGTACAGCATGATGGCTGCTGTGGTGTTATTGCAGCTGGGCAATCTGGTGTTGCTGAATAAGATGCAGGAGAAGAATCGGGTGCAGAATGGAAAGCCGGCCAAGTTGCATGATGCGAGCATGGATAAGAAGTTTAATGCTGCTGCTGCCCAGGAGGTCCAAGGAGGGGAGATTGGAAGTCGGGCGTTTTTGGACTTGACGGATCGGCAGAATGATGAGTTTATCTATGTATATTAGTTTTGGGGTCTTGGGCCTCCCAACAGTATGTGCAGAACCAGAAAGAAAGTCAGATCTCATCAACCTCAAACTTCACCAACAACGAACACCCCGTCTCCCGTCCTTTGAGGTCCAACATCCTCACAAATCTCCACTGCCCGTTGACTTCCTCAGACTGCACATACAACAACCGAACACTCGCCACACACAACACCGGGTTCGACGAAAAAGAATCATCGCTCTTGATGAACATTCTCAAGAAAACCAACTCGTCATCCTCAAACTCCCACTCCAGCGTCTCTTCCCATACCGGATCTGTCACCAGACTCTCATCCTCCCTCGCCACCGCCCCCGTCAGTCCCCCTATCAGCGCAGTAAGTTTATGTCTCCGAAATACATCCGTCTTTTTCTTCGTCTGCTGCATCTCCCCGAACGGTACCCCCGGGTGCAGCAGCGTGCACGTCAAGTACGGCTTTAACTCCTTATCCGTATCCCTAATGGGAACGTCGCTAGCACCAGCTACCACCAACCGCAACCTTTTTCGTCTTCTCGTACGAGATACTGTCTCCCTAAACTCTTTATCCCCCAACCCCACCATCGCCGCGTTATTCCCCCTCAACCAAGAAGGTTTAAGCACGTACCCCCCCGTTCCAGCAAACATGGCTTCGTTGATTTGCATACTCGCATCAAAAGTCTGCCAGTTTAATGCACACACCTGTGCTCCTAGACCCCAAAAAGGTAAAGGTTTGAGGTTTTTCGAAGAAATCCTCGTGCCTTTGGGATACACACGCATCAAATGCCGGGAATTATGTCTAGCGATGCTCGCGCCGTGTCCTTGCCCTAGTAATCGGTTGAGACCTGATTCGGAGACGTTGATCAAGTGATGGTGCGGCCCGTCTTTGAGTAGGAAGGAAGGAGGGGTGGTGAACCAGCTGTTATCGGGCGGTTTGACGGATTGGCCGTAGACGCCTAGCTCGGCTAGTTCTGGAAGAATGAGCTTTGCCTCGGGTGTGTGCTTGGCTTGTTTGCGTTGGCGCTTTTCTTTTTTGGAGTCTTCGTCTTCTGAGCTGCTGTCGCTTGAAGAGTCAGAGGAGGAAGAAGAGCTGGCTTCGTTGACGAGGTGGTGTTCAACAATAACAACAATCTTTGACCCCAACTCCCGCAAAGGAACATGTTGATCTTGTTCGGTATGCCCCCCTTCTCCTGTCTCAACCGGTTTATCAAGTAAATGCCTCCCCCACACCTCCTTCATGATCCTCACCAACGCCTCCTGCCCTCTTGCACCGCAGTGGTTCTCAAGCGAAATTAACACCGGCGCCGCACCACCACCACCCTGTTCCTCTTCTTCTTTTTCCTCTTCAGCCACAACTTGCAAGATAATCTTGCATACCTCGCGAAACGGAATGTTGGAAACCAAAGTATACCCGTGCGTAACTTTTGGTTCGTCCAAATTGTCGGGGTTATCCCACACGTCGATCTCGACACATCGAGACCCCGCCTGGAGAGTATGGCGGTAGGGATCGGCGGAGGATTCACCGAATAACTGGTGCGCGAGGAGGTAGGTGTTGTGGCTGCTTGAGACAAATACTCCGGGTAAGGGTGGTCCCTGGATACGATCTCGGGAGGGACGGCAATGTGGGGTTTGGACAGTAAGTCGGATACGGTTTCTTCGGACTGTAAGATGTGATTACGGGCGATGAAGGAGTGTAAAGCCGGTGAGACGCGCAGCTGGGGTCCATCGCCTGGTTTACATGTGGAATGGCCGCCGCCGGCGTGGGCGTCCGAGGGGATGATGTCGCCTGCTTCTTCGTCGTCGATGGGTTGCGTGCGTCGACGGGAGCCGAGGGTAAGCTTGCGCCGGACGGAGGAGGTGAGGTCGGTGACGGTGCCGGTTACTTGCGGGGGAAGGTTCTCTTTGGCGAAACCGCCGAGGCCGGAGAGGGTGTGTTTTAGTTGGTCCATATCTCACTTGTAAAGGCGATGGTGGGGGACAAGTGAGGGAAAAGTGAAGAAAGAAAGGATGAGAAGAAGATGAGGTGAGATTTGGAGGGGAAAGAAGGAACCTTTATGACCCCGCCTGTTCGTCCATGGGACCTAACCTAACCTGACGGGATGGCGGGATGATGGGATGTTTGTTTGGTTGGGCCCGCTTAAGATGGCTGAACTGAAATGCGGGACCTGGCACATGCGGCACGGGTGGGTGGGGTCAACGGGCTTGCGGCCGCTCGGCGCTAAGAAGCCAAGCAAGCCGGGAGTGGGAACCATCATGCCGGCGAGTCCGTGATCATCTTGTTGACATCTTCAGCTTTGATCCTTCGGGAAGCATGTGGTATTGGTAGATTACGGGTCTGACTGTGCCGTTTACCCTCGCTTTTGACATCAACAGGAAAATACAAAAACAGGAAGGAAAGGGTAAAAAAAGCGGGAAAAAAAAAAAGGGAAAAAAAAGAGGTGGAAAGAACAAGTCTTGAACGTGGGACGTACCGCAACTGGAAAGGAGTAGAAGAGGCTTAGTAATGCGTGGCCGGAAGACGCCAGCTGATGACACTACTACAGCGCAGCACCAAGCCCTTTGACAACATTCCTTAAGGGATGCTAGCATGGGTACACACCACGCTGTAGCCCCGGGAGTTTAGCAAGGCTGCACTCCACGCCGCTCGGCCATTGTCCCTTTCCGGGGTTGATGTGAATACAGTACGAGTTTTTAGGTTATTAAGGTCCGTTGTTGACGTCGTCGAAGTGAGGTGAGACCGAATGCGTTCTCGGCGCCCAGAGTATCTGTCCGAAAAGTGGGCGTGGCGGTACTAGAATGTTGACAGGTAGAGGTAACATCGAAATAGCATGACGATTGTGCGTAGATGGAGTTTTGATCTCAAGATGGTAATGCTAATGTTGTCATGTCTTTTTGTCTATCCAATGCATTGTGTAACAGTTCTATCCAACCGTCTTTTAGTTGTTCTTCATCCATTGTCCAATCATCCAACCGCTTCATCCCCAACGTGTCACTCCGTTGCAAGACTCTAAGCGCGGTCGAATGCATCACCACCATCAACAGCCATCCCTACCATCACCAACTCCCCTTTTACCATCCATTCATCCCACTACCGACTCCCCTTTTACCATCCATTCATCCCACTACCGACTCTCCTTTTACCATCCATCCAACGAACTTCCTGCACCACATGAATCACAGCTGCGACCCAAACCACCTAAGCCCAGGCCCCAACCAAACTCATGCCCACCGCTCCCAGAAAAACCAACACACAAGCACCCACCCTCTTCCGTCCCCTCAACGTCCTCCAACTCTCATCACTCAAAAAGTCCTCACTCAACAATTCCACCAAGCTAGCAAAAACCAACAATCCGCTAGAAATAGCATTCATAGTCCCCACCAACACCAATCCCACCTCACTCTCCGGACTATACAACCGATGGGTAGCCAGTCCAATAGCCTGTCCAACAGGCGTCGTACATCCATACGCCAAAGCCATATACCACGGCTGCTTCGATCCTTCAGGCCAAGTAATACTTGCGATTCTCGACCCCAGGGCAAGGCCTTCAAAGGTTTGATGGAATGCGATTGCGATGAGTAAAACGACAAAGTCGGTGCCGACGGATACTGACAAAGCCATGCCGATGAAAACGGAATGAAACAAGATACCGCACTCGAGAAGGACGCATTGCATCGTTTCCTTGCGGTGCTTCATTTCGGCGGTTAGGTATCCTTCGGGAAGCTGGGATTCGAGCTGTTGTGTAGTAGGGGAGGAGAGGGTCAGGTCGGATTGGAAGATTTCCTTGTTGAATTGGGGGGTTGTTGCCGAGTCGGTGCAAGCGTTGAGGTTATCTTCGGAGGGCAAGGCGGGGAGGACGGCGTCCCGGTCTTGGGCTGGGTCTTGGCCTTGGCGGGAGACGTGGGAGAGACGGCGGCCGATGGAGTGAGCGCGGCCGCGGAGGGCGCCCTTGGGGCGGGAGGGCAGGTTGTTGGCGTTGATGGAGGTGGTGTCGTCGGGGGCGCGAGCGTTGCTAGGAAGGCGAGAAAGGGGGTCGATAGAGTCGTCGTTGTTGTTGTTGTTCGACTGCCCATGGGCGGCACCGGAAGCATGGCCCTCTTCGTGAAGTCCGTGATGCACGTGTCGCCCGGGATGAAAGACCATTTCGACAATGGTAACCATGAAGATCGCCGCCAATGCAATTGCGCCCGGCATTGCGGGATATTGTTTCGTCCAAAAGCTGTCGAGACACTGGTTGCTGAGCGAGATGAAAGCGGTCGGCAAAAGATGGACGAAAGCCGTGGCGATCAGGACTCCGGTACCGAAGTGACGGACGGCGAAGAAGAACACGGGCGGGAGTCGAATCGTGGGGAAGCGGGTCATGAGGACGGGAAGGGCGCAGGCGAGAAAAGAGACGCCGAAGATGATGGCGAGAGCAGCGCCGTGAAAGGGCGTGTTGTAAAGCGACTCATCGGAGACGCCGCCCTTGGGACAAGTTGATGCTCTCTTAAAGACCCGAGGGGTAACGGGTTCGGCGACCGTAACAACGACGGGTGAAGGACGAGGTACGGAGAGAGATGACGCATCAACTTGGACATGTCGATCGTTACCGTGCTGTTGTCTTGTCATGATGGTGGACATGATCAACGAGGTAACGGCGACGGAGAGAACCCAAGTGACCCACCCCGGGACCGCCGAAGCGGCACTGCGGAGGAGTGGGGCCACGGAGCTCCGGGTTCGGCAGGCACGGTCTTCACCACCGGCTTACCGGGAGTTTCTGCGGGGCGGGGTCTGTGTTCGGTGTTAGTCATTTGGGTTAAGGTCAAAGGGTTAGTTTTAGGGGCGCTTTTCTGGTAACAACAACATACCAAAAGACCACCGCCCCGCAGAATTATTATTCTTCTCCGGGGGAACTGGTCTGCGGTCCGATTCATGCTGTCTTATGCCGCCGCCTGGGTGATGATTCAATGCGCAGACGCCGACCTCACTGCCTTGAGATCCAGTCCTGTGCGTCCGAGAATTGGCAATTCCATTGAGGTCCTGACGGGTGGTCAAGTCAGCAGCCAGGTAATGGGGCTGTTGGTTCCAAAAGGGATGATGGAGGTCGCCATCGTCATTGCGAGAAGGGCGGTTCATTTTGGGCAGTTGGTTGCAGTTGAAATTGAGTCAGTTTAATTTCGATATATCCTTCGGCGACTCGGTTGCGACGGTTTGCGACAAAGTAGGGCGATGACTGACGGCTTTGGCGATGACTGACGGCTTTGGCGATGACTGGGACCCCTTAAACGAGTGGCTTTTGTTGACTTTTTTTTGGCGAATTGAAGACGGATTCGATTCGATGACGCGATGGAGATCGGAAACAGAGACTGCTTTTTCACGGCAAGTGAGAGGGAAAAGGATCGCAAACAGTGCTGTTTATTGACTGTCTAAAATCTTGCGAGATTCAAAAAGGTTCCAAAAAGAACAAAAAGAGTAAACACATCCAGGGAGTATATATGTAACAAGAAAGTGGAAGCGGCGGTCTGTTTTTAGAAGATTGGAAGTTCCGTCCCTTCTGACGTGTGACAATTCGAGACCACTGCTGACTCCCGGAGGCGGCGACCGTGCATTGAACAGGGGAAATCTTGGGCAAGTCCAGGCCCTTTTAACGGTGAACCCTAACCCCATGACAGTCCATGACAGGCTCGTTCCATCCCGTGATGCCCCGATGGCTCCACACGCGGCGGAGATCCGTTGGAATGAGTGGTTCATTGGACTCCATCCCGAGATTCCCAAGTCTTCCCCAGATCTTGGCGTACGTAAAACGAACAACCCCGAACAAGACATGGAATTTGTTTTTTCAAGTCACCGATTCGTTCTGGATTTTGGCATGTTTTGTTGACTCTTGCGGTCACATACTGTTCACATGACTTGTAAAATCGCTGGATTCGTGAGCGGTCTACCTAATATCGCTTAAGCCAACTCTAAAAAGCCCAACCAGGTTCAAGACTTATTCCGGTTGAAGATCCACACGGAATGTCCGCTGGAAAAGGATCAAAGGAAAGTGGAAAGCCGGGATGAGAAAAAGCTGAAACATGGTGTCTGAAAAACCAAGGACGGGTTTCCCGAAAAAGAACGAGCGTGGTTCCGAAAGTTAACGAACAATCCAGTTTGTTCGGTTGAAACTCCGGTCGATCACGGAGAACGAGACGGGAACGGGAATAGCCACTACCAAGACAAGACAAGACAAGACAGAGATTTTTTGCTTGGTGCTTGGCGTAAGCCCCAGAAAGAATGTCGTGACTTGTTCAATGCTTTGTGAACTTGAAAAAGCAAACAGTCAGCGATCCCTTGATTCGTAGTGAGCGGTGTCAAGGCAATCGCTGTGGTTGCACGTGGCTTGCAAGATCTGTTTGGAGTTTTTAGGACAAGCCCCTTTCTTGGCGTCTTTCACAAGCTTGACATTCAATGGTGGAGGTCATCAACTCTGGAGCAAAGAACTGAAAGTACGTATGATAAATATCAGCAAACTCTCCTTCATTATCTGCTGTCAAAGTACAACATGGAAGAAAATGAAAAGGAGACGATGACCCAGGCAAGAAAACCTGCTCTCCCATGGGCAGATATGGGTATTGATTCACCAAGAACGACAACACGTCTACAACTGAAAGTAATTGGGAAGAGCAAAACAGAAAAAGTGAGCAATGTTGGGTCACCATTCAAAAGTCGGACTCGGATTGGTTGAAGTTCAGTTTGGTTGCCTTATTTGCCGCTTTCAATTCTTCTCTCCAGCGCTGGGCCACAACCTTTAATCTCCAGCTTCAGCAGTTCATCTCACCAAACACCGAAATGAGACGAACGATGGATAACATAACCATATTATCGGGATATCGCGCCCGCTCGTCCACCCTCTTCGAGACTTTCAGCGTACAACAGAAACCGTTAATCAATTCAATCAAGACGGGCCGTTATGAGCCAACCACAGAACCCGGGTGTAACTGTCTCCGCCAATCCAACTCTGTGAACCCCGAGCGGACAAAGTCACGGATCTGGCCGAGCGAACAAATGTGAAATGTGGATCTCTCACCGTCCTACACCGAGCCGCTTCAGCCCACCAAGCCCACCAAGCCTACCAAGCGCCCAAGTGCCGCCCGCCTCCCCGCCCCCGCACCGAGTTCCGCGACCGGATAATTCCCGTTCCACTTCCCCGCATCTCACCTCCGATTCCGTCCCGGTCATCCTTCCGATCTCCCAACTCCCGGACTCCGTTCCACAATAACATCCAGATTCCGACCCCAATTCCCGGATCCCGCCCGTACCCGTAGTCGTTCACTGCCCCAAAACATTGAAGCCCGGTGCCCGGTTTCTCAACAACAATGTCCATGTCATCTCCCTTGAACCAACCCAATTTAGAACTCCCAGCGGAAATCACCCTCCAGCCCCCGCTCACCCGGCGCGGCACCGGACCGGGATTGATCCTCGTTGTGCCGCCCAAGGCGGAACTCGACCTTGTCAACCGGAAACTACGAGAACTCCCTTCTGATCAAAATGAGTATGGTGAGCGGAAGGAGGGTCACGTACAGAAAACGCTGGAACCGGAGCCGCTCAAGAAATGGGCTGAAGAGGGGTACGCGGTTGCGCAGGTCACGTACACGTACACGTCCGGTCGATCAAGTATGCTCGGTACGCTTGGTACACTTTGTACACCTGACGAGGATGGTCCCGAGCGTCAGAGTCTGGAGCTTGGCGAGTTGGTTGGGAAAGCGATTGAGGAACTTGCAAAGATGAAGGAGTGTGAAGGGACGGAGAAGGTTGGTCTTGTTGGTGAGTACCTCTCTACTCATATGTCGGTATCAGTCCCGGCCTGGGATGTCATATGTGTACCTTGGTTGGCGTTGTGAATATTGAAGACACCGAGGAGGATGGTAAACACAGCGATGACAGTCATGACATGAGCTGAAAAATATCACTACCTACCCTAGTGCACGCGTATGGCGACAACAGCTTTCTCGCCTCTGCCATCACCGCCAACCCTCGCGTTGCCTGTTGCGTCTACTACGGCCCCTTTGAACCCGTTGCAAAGACAAAAGAAACCTTAATCCCCATTCTCGCGCACATTCCCGGCTCCGTGCCTCAGCGTTCTCAGATGGACACTGCAACGTTTGGGGAAGATCCCGAAAACGTACATGTAAAATGTCACTACTACCCCAACCTGAACCTGAAAACACACCATTACTTCGCCCACCCTTCATGCACCGTAGGGTTCAACCCCAGCGCCGCCTCAGTCGCGCACACCCGCTCTCTCACCTTCCTCAAGCCTCTGCTGGGAGGACCTTACTTCGACCTGGAAGCCATCTGGGACGAGCACACCAAGTACGAGTTCGAGGACCGCAGCGTCGAAAAGACCATGGCTACCATGGTTGATCAGCCCTACGTCAACCACGTGCCGACACTAACGGGTGGTATTGGGAGAGAGAACCTGACCAAGTTCTACCGGGACCATTTCATCAATAGTAATGCGGAGGATGCAAAGTTGGAGCTGGTGAGTAGGACGGTGGGCATTGATCGGATTGTTGATGAGTTTTTGTTTAATTTTACTCATGATAGGGGGGTTGATTGGTTGTGAGTATTCCCATGCGTCCCTCTTTGGTCTCATATGATACCCAAGCTGACAGAAGACAGAATCCCCGGCATACCACCAACGCACCGCAAAGTGAGTATCCCATTCACAAGCATCGTCAACATTCGCGGCGATAGGTTATACCACGAGCATATCGCCTGGGACCAGGGGACCGTTCTCAGACAGCTGGGATTGTTGCCCGAGTACCTACCTTTTCCGTATGCGCTGCCGGATGGACGACAGCCGGGAGAAGGAGGGAAGAGGTTCGAGTATCGTGTTCCGGTGGCTGGGATAGAGACGGCAAAGAAGTTGGTGGATGAGAATGCGGTTGAGTCGAATGAGATGCTGAGATTCGAAGTGCGGGAGGTGTCGGATGAGTGATCGCCGTTGGACTCGGGTTACGGTTTTATGCTTATTTCAGAATGCCGGATGAAGTCAGATGATCATGACGGATGACTACCCCCGGCCCAAATATTGTTGGTTGTAAGGTTATGTTGGCGTGAGGCACAGAAGGACTACCGGATGAGATATCTCGGCCATAACGGATGACTTCCCCAGGTAAAGGTTGTTGGTCGTTAAGCTTATATTAGCGTGAGGCACAGAAAGAAAAGGCTCGGTTATCGGGAAGGATGCCGACGGGAGAGACCCGAGAATGAAATGTCGATAACAGAACCAACAAGGTTGGTGGTGTCTGTCAGCTTAGTTCCAACGGTTCCTGAGGCTGTGAGAGCCCGTTCATTGGACAATGGAGTCTCTTGAAGTTGTGAGTGTGTAGCACCGATGAGAGATGCAGTGTTACCCCATGTTTATGTTCATGAGATGGGTTGTAAGTAGGGGTTTATGATAACGATGAAACCGATGAACGGATGATGGTGATGAGTAAACAGGTACATTCATTCGTCGTTGATCACAACTCTTCATGAACGGTATAATGGGGTGTCTGTAGTTTTCTTCACTATGAATTCCAACATGATGGAAGGTGATAGAGAACTATAGTCGAATCTGAGTCAGTTCCGCGACGTCTCGACGTCGGACCATCCAGTCGTTCGCAGCAGTTTGCGAGCCAGACGAGCACAATGACAGGGAAGCGGCGGCGAGGAAAGGGAGGGCGAATGTTCGAAACAGAAGGACTGGAACCAATCAGAATGCGTCTTTTTCCAGATCGTAAATCCGGCCGCCGGGGGCCCAGGCACTCGGCCAGTACCGAGAAAAGTCACTGAGCAACATCGAAGTTATCGAACGGCCTTTGAACTAAGGGGTGATGGGTGAGGTAATCGTGATTGAACCATCCAAGGAACGAAGAGGAGAATCTTAAAGGTGTTTCTGGGGCTGGTGAGATGTCTGAGGGAAGTAAACAAATGGTGACTGCACTGTTGGCAAAGTCTTGTGTCGAACAATGCAGAGGTTGAGTATGGTTCATGCAGGTCGTGAAGTCGTGAGGGGACAACCTCGATGTTGTCTGGGGGATGGTATGCACGCTTTGACTTGGGCGGGGAGAGCATGAAGGGGAAGAAAGACGCGTTCATTGTGTCTAGGAAACCAAAGGAAAAGAAAAAGTCTCAGGGCAAAGTAGATGGAGTCTATCAAATAGATCTTGAAGTGTCATTTTGGTCTTCTCAGATGTGCTCCTGGTTATTGTGAGATGAAGTCGAGAAATTGTTAGTGAGATACTTCAATCAGGCATCGTGAGATCAACCGACATCACGGGCCAAGTCACGTTTCCTGGTGAAAACGAGTGGAGAGCTCGGCCTCGCTGGGGGAGTCGGCACACGGGGCGTCTAGCGGGCGAAATACTGGGGCAACGATGGGCCAATGGGGGGCGTCGCTGAAAGTTTGCAAAATTGGGACTTGC